GGGGGTTTGGGGGGTTTGGTGGTTGGGGGGTAGTGTGTTGGGGTGGTTGGGGGTTGGGGGTTTGGGGTGGGGTTGGGGTGTGGGTTGGGGGGTTTGGGGGGTTGGGGGTTGGGGGGTAGGGGGGGTTGGGGGTTGGGGGTTTGGTGGGTTTGGGGTTGGGGTTGGGGGGGGTTGGGGGGGGGTTGGGGGGGTTGGGGGGTGGGGGTTGGGTGGTGGGGGGTGGGGGTTTTTTGTGTTGTGGGTTTTGGGTTTGTTGTGGGGGGGTGTTGTGGGGGTTGTGTGGGTTGGGGGGTTGGGGGTTGGGGGGTTGGGGGTGTGTGTGGGTGTGTTTGTGGGTTGGGTTGTGTTGGTGTTTGGTTGTGTTGGTTGTGTTTTGTTGTGTGTGTGGGGTTGGGTGTGTGTGGTGGGGTTGTTGGGGTTTGTGGGGTGGGGTGTTGTTGGGGTTTGGGTTGTGGGTGTGGGTGTGGGTTTGGGTGGGGGGGGGGGGTTGTGGGGTGGGTGTGGTGTGGGGGTGGGTTGGGGGGGGGTGTGGTGGGGGGTTGGTTGGTGTGGGGTGGGTGGTGGGTGTGTGGGTTGGTGGTTGTGTGTGTGTTTGGTGTGGGGTTTGGTGGTGGGGTTTGGTGTGGTGTGGTGGTGGGGTTGTGGTGGGTTTGGTGGTGGGTTGGTTGGGGTTGGGGTTTGGTGGTGGGGGGTTAGTGGTGTGGGGTTGGTGTGGTTTGTGGGGGTTTGGTGTTGGTTTGTTGGGGGGTGGGGGTTTGTTGTGGGTGGGGTTGGTGGTGGGGTTTGTGGGTGGTGTTTGGTGTGGTTTGGTGGTGGGTTTGGTGGTGGGGTTTGGTGGGTGGGGGGTTGGTGGTTTGTTGGGTGGGGTTTGGTGGTGGGGGGGGTGGGGGTGGGGGGGGGGGGGGTGGTGGGGGTGGGTTGGGTGGGGTGGGGGGGTGGGGGTGTTTTGTGTGTTGGGGGTGGGTGTGGGGGGGGTGGTGGGGGGTTGTGGGGTGGGTGGTGTGTGTTGGGGTGGTGGGTGTGGTGGGGGGGGTTGGGGGGGGGGTTGGGTTGTTGGGGGTTGTTTGGAGGTGTGGGGGTTGTATTTTGGGGGGTTTGTTGGGGGGTTTTGTGGTTGGGTTGGGTGGTTGAGTGGGTTGGTGGGGGGTGGGGGATTGGGTGTTGGGGTTGTGGGGGGGGGGTTTGTGTGGGTGTTTGGTGGTGGGGGGTTGGGTGGGGGTGGTGTGTGGGGGGGGGGGGGTGTGTGGGTGGTGTGGTGGGGGGTGTGGGGGGGTGGGGGTTGATGATTGGGGGGGTTTTGGGGTGGGGGGGGGTTTGGGGGGGTTGGGGTGTTGTGGTTGTGGGGGTGGTGTTGGGGGTGGTGGGGGGGGTGGGGGGGGTGTTTGGGGGGGGGGGGGGTTGGTGGTGGTGGGGTTGGGGGGGTTGGGGTGGGGGGGGGGGGGTGGGGTGGTGGGGGGGGTGGGGGGTTGGGGGGGGGTTGTGGGTGGGGTGTGTGGGTGGGGGGTGGTGTGGTGGGTGTGGGGGGTGGGGGTGTTGGGTGTGGTGGGGTTGGTTTTGGGGGTGTGTGTGGGTGTGGGTGTTTGTGTTTGGGGTGGGGGGGGGGGGGGGGTTGGTGGTGGTTGGGTGGGTTTGGGGGTTGGGTGTGTGGTTGGTGTGTTTGGGTTTGGTGTTGTTTGGGGGGTGGGGTGGGGGGGGTGGGTTGTGGGGGGGGTTTTTTGGGGTTGGGTTTGTGGGGTGTGTGGTGGGGGGGGGGGGGGGGGGGGGGGGGGGTGGGGTGGTGGTGGGTGTGGTGGGGGGGGGGGGGGGGGGGGGGTGGGGGGGTGGGGGGGGGTGGGGGTTGGGGGGTTTTTGGGGAGGGTGGGTTGGGTGTGGTTGGGGGTGGGGTGGGGGGTTGGGGGGGTTGGGGGTGGGGGGGGGGGGTGTGTTGGGGGTGGTGTTGGGGGTGTTTTGGGGGGGTTGTGGGTGGGGGGTGTGGGGGTTGGGTGGGGGTTTTGGGGTTGGGTGGGGGGGGGGGGTTGGGGGGGTGGGGGGGGTTGTTTGGGGGGGTTGTGGGTGTGTGGTGGGGGGGGGGGGGGGTGGTTTTTGGGGTGTTGGTTTTGTTGTTGGTGGTGGTGTGGGTGGGGTGTGGGTGGGGGTTTGGGTTTGGGTGTGGTGGGGGTTGTGGTGGTGTGGGGGGGGGGGGGGTGGGGGGTGGGGTGGGGGTTTTGGGTGGGTGGGGTGGGGTTTGGGGGGGGGGGGGGGGGTGTGGTTGGTGTGGTGGTTGTGGGGTGTTTGGTGGGTGGGTGGGGGTTGGTGGGGGGGGGTGGTGGGGGGGGTGGTGGTTGTTGGTTGGGGGTTGGGGGTGGTTGTGTGGGGGGGTTGGGGTTGGTGTGTTTGTTTGTGGGGGTTGGGTGGTTGGGGTGTTGTGTTGGTGTGGGTGGTGTTTGGGGGGGGGGGGGGTTTGTGGGGGGTGGGTGGGTTTGGTTGGTGGGGGTGTGTGGGTGTTGGGGGGTGGGGGGTGGGGGGGGGGTGTGTGTGGTGGTGGTGGTTGGGGGGGGGGGGGGGTGGGGGGGGTTTGTGGGGGGGGTGGTGTGGGGTTTGTTGTGGGGGGGGGGGGGGGGGGTGGTTGTGTGGGGTGGTTGGGTTTTGTTTGTTTGGGGTGGGTGGTGTGTGGGGGGGTGGGGTGGGGTGTTTGGTTGGGTGTGTGGGGTGTGGGGTGGTGTGGGGGTGGTTGGGTTGTGGGTGGTTGTGTGTGGGTGTTGGGGGGTGGGGGGGTGGGTGTGGGGGGTTGGGGGGGTGGGGGGGGGTTGTGTTGTTGGGGGTGTGTTGGTGGGGGGGTGTGGGTGGGGGGTTGGGGGTGGGTGGGGGTTGTTGGTGGGTGGGGGGGTGGGTGGTGTGTGTGGTGTTGGGTGTGTTGGTTTTTTGTGTGGGGGGGTGTGGTTGGTGGGGGGGGGTGGTTGTGTGTGGTTGGGGTGGTGTGTTGGGGGGGGGGGGTTTGTGGGGGGTGGGTGGTGTTGGTTGGTGGGGGGGGGTGTGTGTGTTGGGGGGGGGGTGGGGGGTGGGGGGGGGGTTGGGGTTTGGGGGTGGTGTTGTGTGGTTGTTGTTGGGGGTTGGGGGTGGGTGTGGGTTTTTGGGTGGGTTTTGGGTGGGTGGGGTGGTGGGGGTGGTGGGGTGTGGTGGGTGGGGGGTGGGGTGGTGGGGGGTGGTGGGGGTGGTGGGGGTTGTGTGGGTGGTGGTGGGGGGGTTTGGGGGGTTGGTGGGGGTGTTTTTGTGGTGGGGGGGGGGGGGGGGGGGGGGGGGGGGGTTGGTGGGGGGTGGGTTGGTGGTGTGGGGTTTTGTGGGGGGGGGGTTGGGGTGTGGTGGGGGGGGGGGGGGGGGGTGGGGGGGGGTTGGGGGTGGGGGTGTTGGGGTGGGTTGGTGGTGGGTGGGGGGGGGGGGGTGGTTGGGTGGTGTGTGGTTGTTGTTTTTTGTTTGGGGGGGGGGGGGGGGGGGGGGGGGGGGGGGGGGGGTGTGGTGTTGGGGGGGTTGTGTGTGTGTGGTGGGGTGTGTGGGGGGTTTGTGGGTGGGGTGGGGGGGGGGGGGGGGGGGGTGGGGTTGTTGGGGTGGTGGGTGGGTTGGGGGGGGGGGGTGGGGGGGGGGTGGGGTTGTGTGTGGGGTGGGGGGTTGTGGGGGTGGGGGTGGGGGTGGTGTTTTGGGTGGGGGGGGGGGGTGGGGGGGGGGGGGGGTTGGTTGTGTGTGGGTGGGGGGGTGTGTGTTTGGTGTTTTGGTGGGTGGGTTGGGGGGGTGGGGGGTGTGGTTGGGGGGTTTGGTTTGTTTGTGGGGGGGGGGGGGGGGGGTTGGTGGTGGTGTGTTTTGTTTGGGTGGGGGGTGGTGTTGGGGTTGTTTGTGGGGGGGTGGTTTGTGTTGTTGGTGTGGTTGGGGGTGTGTTGGGGGTGTGGGGGTTGGTGGGGGTGGGTGGGGGGGGTGGTGGGGGTGGTGGTGTTTGTTTTTTGTGTTGGGTGTGGGTGTTGTGTTTTGGTGGGGTGGTTTGTTTTTTGGGGGGTGGTGGGGGGGGGTGGTGGGGTGGGGGTGGGTGGGGGGTGGGTGGGGGGGGGGTGGGGGTTGGGTGGGGGGGTGGTGGGTGGTGGGGGGGGGTGGGGGGGGGTGGGTGGTGGGGGGGGGGGGGGGGGGGGGGGGTGGGGTGGTGGGGGGGGGGGGGTGGGGGGTGGGGGGGGGTTGGTTGTGGTTGGTGGTGGTGTGGTGGTGTGGTTGGGTGTGGTTGGTTTGGTGGTGTGTGGTTGGTGGTGTTTTTGGTTTGTGGTTTTGTGGTTGGGGGGTGTGGTGTGGGTTGGTGTGTTTTGGTTTGGGGGTGGTGGTGTGGTGGTGGTGGTGGTTTGTTGGTTGGTGTTGTGGTTGTGGTGTTTGTGGTTGGTGGTTTTTGGTGGTTGGTGTTGTGGTTGGGTGTTTTTGGTTGGTGTTTTTGTTGTGGTGTTGTTTGTGTTGGGGGTGTTTTTGTGGTGTGTTTGTGGTTGTGTGGTGGTTGTGTTGGGTTGGTTTGTGGTTGGTTTGTTGTGGTTGGGGGTGGTGTTTGGTGTGGGGTTTGTGGGGTTGTGTTTGGGGGGGGGGGGGGGTGGGTTTTGGGGTGGGGGTGGTTGGTGGGGGGGTTGTGGTGGGGGGGGTGGGGAGGGTTGGGGGGGGAGTGGGGGGTTGGTGTGGTGGGGTGGGTGGGGTGTGGGGGTTTGGTGTGTGGGGGTTGGGTTTTTGGGTTTGTGTGGGGTTTTTTGTTGTTTGTGGGGGTTTTTTGTGGTTTTGTGTGGTGTGGTGTTTTGTGGGTTGGTGTTGGTGGGGTGGGGGGGGTTGGGGGGGGTTTGTGGTGTGTGTGTGGGTAGGTAGTGTGGGTGTGTGTTGTGTTGGGGGGGTGTGTGAGTAGGGGGTTTGAATGTGTGTGTGTGTGATGATATGGGATAGAGAGGGGGTGAGAGAGTGGAGTGTTGTAGGGGTGTGTGTGGTATGTGTGATGTGGGTTGTTGGAGTGTAGGGTGATGGGTGTTGAGGGTGTGTGTGTGGTGTGTGTGTTGGTGTTTATGGGTGTTGTTGGGGTTTGTGGTGTGGTTGTGTGTGTGGGTGTGTGTGGGTGTGTGTGGGGGTGGTGTGTGTGGGGTGTGTTGGGGTGTGTGTGTGTGTTGTGGTGTGTGTGGTGTGTGTGGGGGGTGTGTGTGGGGGTTGTAGGTGTTTGTGTGGTGAGTGTGGGTGAGTGAGATGGGTGTGTGTGGTAGTGATGTGTGGGTGTTGTGGTTGTGTGTGGTGTGTTGGGGTGTGTGTGGTGTGTGTGGTTGTGTGGTGTTTGTTTTGTGGTGGGGGTTGGGGGTTGGGGTGGTTGTTGTGGGGGGGTGATATTGGGTGGGGTGTGGGTGGTGTTGGGGTTTGGTTGTGGGATGGGGGTTGGGGTGGGGGTGTGGTGGGGGGGGGTGTGGGTGGGGGTGGGGGGGGTTTTGGGGGGGGGGGGGGTTTGGTGGGTGGGGGTTGGGTGTAGGGGGGGTAGTTGTTTGTGTTGTTGTTTGTTGGTTTTGTTGGAGTTGTGGGGTGGGGGATGGTGAGGGTTGGAGGGTGGGTGGGGGGGTTGTGTGGGGTTTGGGTAGATATGGGGGTTGTATGTGTTAGGGGGTTATGGGGGGTTAGATGGGGGTGATGGGGGTTTGTATGGATTAGGGTTGTTGTGGGGGGTTGGGGGGGTGTGTAGGGGTTTGGGGGGGGGGGGTGTGAGGGTTGTTTTGTTATATGTTATATATATAGATATTTTTATTTTTATTTTTTATGTGGATTTATAGTTATATTTGTTTTATTTGATATTGAGTTATAGGGGGGGGGGGGGTAAGGGGGGTAGGGGGGGGTATGGATGTGTGTGTTGGGGGGTTTGGGGTGGGGGGGGTTGGGTGTTGGGTGGGGGGTGTTGATGTGGGGTGTGTTTGGTTATGGGGGGGGGGGGTGGGGGTGGGGGGGGGGGGTGGTGTTGGGTGGGGGTGGGGTGGGGGTTTTGTATGGTTGGGTTGGTTGGGGGAGGAGGGGGGGGTTGGTTGATGGATTATGTTTGGGTTGGGGGGGTTTTGATGGGTTTGGTTGATTGTTGGAATGGTGGGTGGGGTGTTTGGTGGGTGTGTTGTTATGGTGTTGTTGGGTTTTTTGGTGGGTTGTTGGTTGTTAGTGGGGTGTGGTGTTTTTGTGTGGGTTTTGTTTTAGTATTGGGTGTATTTTTTTGGGGAGGGGGTTTATTGTTGGGGTTTGTGTATTGGGTTTGTTTTGGGTTGGGGTTGTGGGGGGGGGGGGTTTGTTTGGTGGGGGTGGGGGGATTGTATGGGGGGGGGTTGTGTGTTTGTGGTTTGGTGTGTTTGGTGGTTTGGTTTGGGTTGGGGGGGTTGGGTGGGTTGGGGGTGGGTTGTGGTGGGTGTTGGTGTGTTGGGGGGGTGGTGGTGTGGGTTGGGGTGGTTGTGGTGGTTTTTTGGTTGTGGTGTGGTGGGGGGGGTTGTGTTGGGTTTTTTGGGGTGGGGGGGGGTTGGGGTGGGGGTGGTTGGGGGTGGGGGGTTGGTTGGGTGTGGGTGGGGGGGTGGGGTGGGGGGTGGGGTGTGGGGGGGGGGTGTGTGGGGTGTATGGTTTTGGTGGGGGGGGTAGGTTGTGGGGTGGGTTTTGGGGTGTTTTTGGGGGGGGGGTGGGTGTGTGTTTTGGTGGGGTGTGTTTAGTGTGTTGGTTGTGGTTGGTGGGGTGGGTGTGGGGGGTTTGTGGTTTGTGTGGTTTGGGTGGGGTGTGTGGGGGGGGTGTGTGGGGGTGTGGGGGGTGGTTTGTTGGGGTTGGGGGGTTTGGGTGGGTGGTGGGGGGGGGTGGTTGGTGTGGTGGTTGTGTAGGTTTTGAGGTGGGGGGGTTGGTTGTGGTGGGGGTGTGGTGGGTTGGGGGGGGTTGGTGGGTGGTGTGTGGGGGTGGGTGTTGGGGTGGTTGGGTGGTTGTGGGGGGTTGAGGTGTGTTTTTTGTGGTGGGTGTGTGGGGGGGTTTGGTGGTTGTGGGGTGTTTGGGTGGTGTTTTTTAGTGGTGTGGGGTGGTTTTTGTGGGGGGGGGGGGGGGTGGTGGGGTTTGGGTGTTGGGGGGGTGTTGTGGTGGTGTGGTTGGTGGTTGGGGGTTGGTGGGTGGGGGGGGGGGGGGGTTGTGGTTGTGGGTTTTTGTGGTTGGGTGGGGGGGGTGGTTTGGTGGGGGGTGTGTGTGTTGTGGTGGTGGGGTTGGGGGGTGTTGGGGGGGGTTGTGGTGGTGGGGGGTGGGTGTGGTGGGTGTGTTTTGTTGGGGGTATGTTGGTGTTTGGGATTGGGGTTGGGGGGAGGGGTTGGTGTGGGTTGGTGGGGGGGGGGGGTGGGGGGGGTGTTTGTTGGTGGTTTGGTGGGGGGGGTGTGTGGGGGTTGGGTGTGTTTTGTTGTTTTTAGGTTTGGGGTGTGTTTGTTGTTGTTGTGGTGGGTGGTGTTGGTGGTGTGTGGGGTGTATGTGGGTTGTTATGTTGTGGGGTGTTTTTGTTGTGTTGGGTGTTTTGGTGTGGGGGGGGGTTGTGGGGTGGTTGGGGGGGTGTTTGGGGGGGTGGGTGGGGGGGTTGTGGTTTTGTTGTTGGGTTGGGTTGGTTAGGGTTTGGGTGGTTGTGTGGGTTGGTTTGGTGGGGGGGGTGTTGTGGGGTGGTTTGGGGGGGGGGGGGTGGGGGGTTGGTGGGGGTGTTGGGGGGGGTGGGGGGTGGTGGGGTGGGTTGGTTGGTTGGTTTGGGTTTGGTTGTGGGGTTTGTTTTGGTGTTTGTGTGGGGGTGGTGTTTGTTTGGGTTGTGGGGGTGTGGTTGGGTGGGTTTGGTTTGGTGGTGGTTTGTTGGTGGGGGTGGTGGGTGTGTGGGTGGGGGGTTGGGTTTTGGTTGTGTTTATGGTGTTGTGTGTTTGTTTTTGTGGTTGTTGTTTTGGGGTTTGTTGTAGGGTGTGTTGGGGGGGGGTTTGGGTTTTTTTGTAGGTTGGATTTGGTGTTAAGTTTATTGTAGTGGGGGGGGAAGTTGTTGGAGGGTTGGTGGGTTTGGTGGGTGGGGGAAAAGTTTGAATAGGGGTGGGGGTGGGGAGGGGGAGGTATGGTTGGATGTGTGTGTAAGAGAATATTTATAGGAGTTTTGTTTAGGATTGAGGTGTTAAGGATAATGGATGAATTTGAAAAAATGTGGGGGATGGGGAAAAGGAGGGGTTGGGTAATGGGGGGGGTGGTAGAATGGAGAGGGGAAGTTAAAGGGGTGGGGTGTGGAGTTGTGTGGGGGTGGGAGAGATATTGGGTTGTTTGGAATGGAGATGAGGGGTTGTGGTTGATGTGATTAAGGGAATTGTAGTTGGGGGGTGTTGGGAAATGGGTTGGGAGATAGGGGGGGGTAGATGTTGAAGGGAAAGAAAGGGTAATGTTTGGGGAAGTATATGGTTAGGTTTGGTTATGTGATGTTTGGTGTTGAGTGTGGGTGTAGTGGGTGGGTTGTTGTGTTGGTGTGTGTGTTGGGTTGGGGTGGTGGGGGGGGGAGGGGGTGGGGGGGGGGGGGGGTGGTTGGGGGGGGTTTTGGTTGGGTGTTGGGTGTGGGTTGGGGTTTTGGGGTGTGTGTATGGGTTGGGGGGTTGTATGGGGTGTGTTGGTGGTTGGGGAGGGGGTGGGGGGGGGGGTGGGGGGTGGGGTGGTGGGGGGGTGGGGGGTGTAGTGTGGGTGGTGTGGGGGTTGTTGTGTGTGTTGTGTTTTTTGTTTGTTGTGTTGTGGGGGTGGTGGGTGGGTTTGTTGTTGTGGGGGGGTGTGGGGGGGGTTTTGGTGTTGGGTTAGTGTGGTGTGGGGGGGGGGGGTGTTTTGTTTGGGATTTTTGTTTTGGGTGTGTGTGATTTGGTTGGGGGGGGGTGTGTGGGTGGGGGGGATTGGGGGTGGTTGTGTGGTTGGGTTGTGTGTGGGTGTGTTGTGTTTGGGTGTGTTGTGGGATTGGTTGTTATGTTGGTGGGTGTTGGTGGTGGTGGGTGTGTTTGGGTGGTGGGGGGTTGGGGGGGGTGTTGTGTTTGGGGGGGTTGGGGTGTGTGGGGTTGGTTGGTTTGGGTGTGTTGGGGGGGGGTGGGGGGGGGGGGGTGGGTGTTGGGGGTTGGGGGTGGGGGTTGGTGGATGGGGGTTGGGGTTTTGGGGGTTGGGGGGTTGGGGGTTGGGGGTTGGGGGGTGGGGGTTGGGGGTTGGGGGGTTGGGGGTTAGGGGGGGGGGGTTGGGGGTTTGGGGGGGTTGGGGGTGGGGGGTTGGGGGGATGGTGGTGGGGTTGGGGGTTGGGGGGTTGGGGGGTTGGGGGGGGGTTGGTGGGTGGGGGGGTTGGGGGGTTGGGGGTTGGGGGGGTTGGGGGTTTGGGGGTTGGGGGGTTTGGGGGTGGGGGGTAGGGGGTTTGGGGGGTTTGGGGTTGGGGTGTTGGGGTTTTGTGGTTGGTGTGTGGGTTTGGGTTTGTGTTGTGGTTTTGGTTGTTGGTTGTTGTTTGTGTGTGTGGGTGGGTTGTGTGGTGGTGGGGTTGTTGTTGTGGGTGTGTTTTGGGTGTTGTGTGTTGGGTGTGGGTGTGGGTTTGTGGGGGGGGGGGTTGTGGGGGTGGGGTGTGGTTTGTGGGTGGGTGGGGGGGGGGGGTGTGTGGGGGGGTGGGTTGGTGTGGGTGTGGGGGGTGGGTGTGTGGGTTGGTTTGTTTTGTGGTGGGGTTTGGTGTGGGGTTTGGTGGTGGGGTTTGGTGGTGGGGTTGGGGTGGTGGGGTTGGTGGTGGGTTTGGTGGTGGGGTTTGGTGGTGGGTTTGGTTGGGTGTTGGTGTGGGGTTTGGTGTGGTTTGGTGGTGGGTGGTGGTGGGTTTGGTGTGGGGGTTTTGGTGGTGGGGGTTGGTGTGGGGGGGGTTTGGTGGGGTGGGTATGGTGGTGGGGTTTGGTGGGTGGGGGTTTGGTGGGAGGGTGGTTTTTGAGTGTGGGGGGGTTGTGGGTGTGTGTGGGTGGGGTTTGTGGTGGGGGGGGGTGGGGTGGGGGGGGGGGGGGGGTGGTGGGGGGGTGGGTGTGGGTGGGGTGGGGGGTGGGGGTGTTTTGGGGTGGGTGGGGGTGGGGGTGGGGGGGTGGTGGGGGGGTGTGGTGTTGGGGTGTGTTGGGTGGTGTGTGGGTGGTGGTGGTGGGGGGGGGGTGTGGGGGGGGGTTGGGGTTGTGTGTGTGGGGGGTTGGTGTGTGGTGGTGTGGGGTAGTTTTTTGGGGTTTGGGGGGGGGGTTGGGTTGGGTGGGTGGGTGGGTTTGTGGGTTGGGGGGGGGTGGTTTTGGTGTTGGTTTGGGGTGGGTGGGGGGTGGTTGGTGGGGGGGGTTGGGTGGGGGGGGGTGTGTGGGGGGGGGGTTTGGTGGGTGTGGGTGGGGGTGTGGGGGGTGGGGTTGTGTTTTGGGGGGGGTTTGGGGTGGGGGGGTTTTGGGGGGTTGGGGTGTTGGTTGGGGGGGTTGGTGGGGGGTGGTGGGGGGGGGGGGGGGGGTGTTTGGG